ATCTCTTAGAAACTCTGTAACTAATAGAATTGCCTCAAAAGGAGAGTCTATAAAACAGCATCTGTAACTCACATACTAGGTCTTCAGACTTTAACTACAGTCAGTTAGCAAGTTAGGATTCTAAACAGCAGTCAGCAGCTAGGCCTGAACCAAACCTAAGTGATTTTTGTGTTTAGCATTATTTGAGCCTTGCTTTGTTAATCTGGAAGTGCCTGTTGTCATAAAATATTATGCTTTGAAGTCTGTCTCCGGTTTTGAAGGATAAGTCATTTTTGTGTATATTACTGTTTCTCTACCTTTGGCATTGGAAATACCAGGTTCTCAAAAGGGACCAGCTCAGACTAGTTTCAAAACAAGTGCACCTTGACTGGTTGGAATATAATTAGTATCTTAAGCATTCCCAAGGATTACATTTCAAAGGTTTTGCATTACTCACAGCAATTAAGTTGCACCAAATAAGTTTTATAGGTTTAGCTCTCTCTAGTTAGTGATTTTAAGACGTGTATTTTACATTGTCTTGCCTTTCCATATGGTCAAATATATAAAGCACAACATTTTAGTGCAAACAAAAGCTTTTTAAAAAATAATCAGTATGCCAAACGTAATGTTGAAGGAATTTTTTTTTTTCCAAAAGAACAGAGATACAGGGACTAAACATTCACTTTTAATGAAGCCCCATTGCACCGTGAAAAATGTGCAGCCCAGTATCTTAAATGAATCATAAGATGGCTTACATCTTTAATGCCTGATCACAGTGCCAGAGAAGTTCAAAGAGCCCCTTACTAAAACCATCAGTAGAATATCGTGGTTGTGCAAGCCACTGAAGTATCTACTTTGTAGCCAGAAGTAATTACGTTACCCCGCTAATCTCTTCTGCAGAAACTCCATCTAACAGGCAGAGATCGCATCTATCAGATAAGAGCTCCATGCCAGGCACAGAGCCTGCTGCTTTTCTTGAAAACACACCTAAAAGACAAAGTAGCATTTTCTCTGTGTGTGACGCTGCAACACACATGCATTACACGCTTCAGAATAAGAATTGTCCGTGCTGGAAATACGTACAGATGATAAGGAATAACTCTACTGACTTCCTCTGCTTGAGAGAGTGCAAATCTGCATCTCGAGATCACGCCACAACTGTGGGATTCTGGACTTTTTACAAGCTCAGGAACCTCAGGAGTAAGAATCCATTAGTACGAGGCCAGACACCCGGTTGCCTTTGCGGATCTTGCTTTTACTCCCCACTCTTCTTAAAATAATGATGGAACAAGACAGGATCTTGAACCTTCACCTGAACTACACAATACATCTCACTTGAAAAGGCCATGAGTTAATGCTGCTGAGCTATATTAAATCAGTACAAAATATTTCAGGTAGATAGCAGTCAAGAGTGATAACCATGGGACACATATTTAAACGTGGAAGCACACATAATGGAGCTCGTGTTTTGGAATTTCACCGCGCTAAATCAAAGTAAGCAAGTGCAACCTGCAACTTCACATAAAACAAATGACACTCTACAGTCCAAACAGTGACTACTATCTACTTGCAAACCAGAGAGGAACAAGAGCAGATTCAAGAGGGGACAAAAAATAGGGAAAAAAAATATAACACAGAGAATTTTGTACCTTACTTTTATCTCATACCCTCAAACAGCCAAACTGCTTGTTGCAGCTTACGCAAATGAGTCCAAGCCTGAGCTAAAAGGCTTACATTTTATTCATGTGGTTATTGTTTGGGAAAGCATAAATCTTCTGTTCCCTACAGCTTTTAATGGAGCATACTATGCAGCCTGAAAACACAGAAGCTACTGCTAGTAAAGTCAGGAAGAAAACTGAGTCTTTGTATGACCACAAAAACTACACAGAGATATATACATGCCAATATCAATTATACTAAAACCTCAAATTGTAAGTGTGGAAAGTAATTTTGGAAAATCAAGATGAAGCGGTTGGAAGAATGTTACTGCTCCCTTCTTAATTTTTCATTATGGTCATATGTTTCACCTTCTGACGTCTGGGGTTTTTTTTTGCTTTTAGCAAAAAAAAAAAAAAAATTTGTGTGCGTTAGCAAGGTGAAAAGATTCCAGTCTGTCCCAGAAGCTCCTGTTCACAAAGGTATCTGGTCCTCATTAATCCTCCAATCACCTCTAACAAGACCAATTCAGAATGCCTAGCTTTTCTAAGTGCCCAAGTAAAATAAGAAGTTATTATACTACAGCATAAAATACTTAACGTTTATTTTGTGTGGTGTACACCAGTGTTTGCTTGCAATCTTCCCATATATGAAGTTGTCTTACCCACTGCAGTTCATCCACTGGGTCACATTTGTGTAACAACGCCAAAGCCATACTCCAGGAACATTCATGCATACTGAGAAACAGCAAAAGTCTTTTTCTGTCAATTTAATTATTTATGGGATAAATAATAATATTAATTCCATGGGATAGTAATAATAATACTATAATAATATTAATTCTATAGGATATGCACTTACATCACAGTTACCACCTGTAGACTCATGGGAGCATAGAGGCAAAAAAAGCCTGCTAGGTAAAATGAAACTTACACATCTCTCTTACAAAACACCATGAAAATAAGGATTTTTTTTTTTATTACAGTGGATTAATTGCATCATATTCCTGTCTAATGGAATATTGCTGCAATTACTGCAGGAGTGGCTATGACTTTATGAGAAAAAAATGCCTAAGACTTACTAAACATTTCATATAAACACATTGGTAGGAAAAAAAAAAAATCAATCAACAATATTTCATGATACCCTTCCTTTTTCATGATTGAGCACTCCCCTTCTGCAAGGTAAGCAAAATTCTGGACCCGTTAACATTGCAGTGTTGTGGCAGATGCAATGCTGTAAGAGCTGTAGCCCATCAACCAGAAAGTTACCCATCCCACTGCCCGTCCAACCTGCTCCAAAGTGCTACTGTTACACAGCAATCCCTTGCAATCTCCTTACTTTATATTTTAACAACGCTAAGGAAAGAATATTCTCTATTTTAGGGCAAGTCCTTCAAGCACTGAAAGGATTAAAGGCATTTCATTGCCTTTCTTCGGTCTTCCTAACTGGGCTGATATTATCACATATAAGGGTCAGGTACTGCCTATATTTTAACAATATTGTGTCTAACCACATTTCTTGGGAAACAGAAAATGGCTAATTTCAACCTAAGGCTACCTCCAAATGCTAACCTCAAAGGGCATAATAACCTATACTTCCAAGCAAAAACATTAAGCAAAAAAATCATGCTGTTACCAAACAGAGGACAATAACTATGAAATTCAGCTTATCTACTTTAGGCTTACCACCTTTTGTTTCAATTAATAGTTTTAGGTCCTGTGTTAATTTGTCATAAGTAACTTTGAAATGAGCAGGGAAGGGGAATGGTATTTGTGGAAATGGACAGGAACTAAATTTGTTTTCATTTGTTTAAAAAAGAGTGTTTTGTGTTAACATTCTTTGCAAAAATTAACGTTCCAGTAAATAGGAGTTCTCAAGTGAATACGGCAGAATGATGGTCACTGTTTTTACTTTGTAGCCAGGTGTACTTCATCTGGTTCCTGCTGCAAATT